CCCCGCCTTTTTTTTTTTTTTTAAATTTTGGAAGTATACCAGCAGCAGTCTTGGCCACACTTACCTTGCTTAAAAAACAAAACAAAACCAAAAAAACCCATATCTGACCTGCTCCAAGCAACACCGTGGACTATATTAGCTGAAATTATTCCATTCTTAGCCACCCCCATCCACTGTCTAAATCAGGAGTTGGCAAACTACTGTGCCTATTTTTGACTTATTGGAACACAGCCACATCCACTGCTTTACATCTTGCCTGGGGCTGCTTTTAAACTGCAAAGACAGAGACCCACTGGCCCTCAAAACCCTAAAAGATTTACTCTCACCTTTCAAGAAAGTTTGTTGACCCCTGGCCTCTAGCACGCATTATGCCATGTATTTTAACATATTTTCGTGCTGTTCATTGTGCTTCTGATAAGCCTGAGGGCTGAGACTCCTTTCTGGAAGTGAGCTAAGACCCCAGACCCTTGTTTGCAGCTGGATCCTTTCAAGGTTTCAAGCTGCTATGTTTCCCTGCAGGAGCCTTCACGGTATCTTCGTCTGGCTGCTCTAGGCTACTTTGGTTCTCCTGTTGCTTAAGAGACCCAGAACCATTAGAGACAGGTCCTAAGTGGTGATATTTTATGGTTTAACATCATCTCTAATTCTTCTGAAGCGTCGAGCCTTGAACAAGGGCACATGAGAATCACGCATATGCAGGGAAGTAGTACAGAACTACCTCTCTATCTCTCTTCCTTCCAGGTGGAAGAAGCTAGACCATGTTTCTTGGAAAAAGAGTTTCCTTTCCTCAAAAGAAAATCCATCATTAATTTGCCTACTGATTACATCCAGATCAGTAGGTTTCAAAAAAATGTAAGGCGACGACTCCGCTGAACAGACCCCTGGGGGTTTGGGGATCACAAGCTCTGGTTAACTAGAGGTCAACCAGAGGACTGCCCTCAAAATCCACTTACCAAACTCCAGTTTGTCTTGGTTATTGGCCACGGCATGGATAAGCCCGATGGTGCCACAGGAGTTGCCAATGGTCTGCTTCATGAAGTACACCTTAGGACTGACTTCTTGTCCCTTCAGCTCTTCAATCTGTTTTTTCCTGAAGTTCTCATGCTGTGAATATAAAACATTTTTTTAGATCTCATGAAAATGCAAAGCCCTAACAGACGGCAGCACAGCGAGTTCTACCACCTAAATGGAAACACAAGTGGGATGTGTGACCAGGAGCCTTGGTTCTAGGTGCTGGCCAGCACCCAGAGGATCACCTGTCTGCGTCCCACACCTACGCCAGCCCGTAGGGTTCTGAGAGGTTCTGAGACTCCACGCTGATGCTGCAGTGCAGTCATGGCCTTGGATGTTGCCCAAGGATTTGTCTAGACACCACTGCAACCTTTTAGCTTGAAAATGTGTGGTGTCCTGAAGTCAGAAAAACAGGCACGTTCATTTTTTTTGTCCTTAAACCACCACCACCAACTATATTTCACACAGGACCCCAATCAAGCTTTGGTCAATTTAACATCCTAATAAACACCAGCCAGTCTATATCCCAGTATTCTTTAAAGTTCTACTTCTACTGTGTCCAAGTGTACTTCTTTTCAATAACAAATACAAAACAAGACTTAGCTGCTGAAAGGAACAATTTTAAGAAATTATTCCCTCACTTTTTTTTTGGAAGGAAAGACAACGGACCTAGGGTTCTGGGCTGTGATTCCACAAAATCTTCTCACCCTACAAGAGAAGATGTGACACTTGCGTGTCCTTGTCAACAATACATTTTGAGGACAGATTAACAATGGGAGGAGGGATCAGTAAATGAATGAGACTAGAGATAGTTTTCCTCAAAGAATCCATCTGCTCTTTGTACAGTAATTTAGGGGGCTTGTCTGGACCTTTCACTAATGGATTTTAGACCTTAAAGGTAGGACTTCTCAGTTAAAGCACAGTACTGCTACCATAGAAACACTAATGTGTCGTAACTAGTATAATCGGACAGAACATCGGAAGTACGTTTCCTTTGTTTTTGTTGTTGATGGTTTTTTTTTTTTAATATTTTAAGTAATCTACACCCAATGTGGGGCTCTAACTTACAACCCTGAGATCAAGAGTTGCACACTTCACCCAATGAACCAGCCAGGTGCCCCTAGAAGTATATTTGTAATTCCAGTAGCCTTACATTACTATACACATAACTGACTTAGTTTAAGCCTGGTCTGTGACGCCATCAGATGAGTAAGATCTCCCTACCCCACAAGACCAACTAATTGAAATTCTAACATCAAAGATCTACCATGTCTTTGAAATGAGTTACTATTCATGGGCTGTTAAGGATTTTCACTTTTCTGGGTTTGTTTAATGGGATAGCACCATTCTTTAGGTGTTTGAGCTCTTGCATGGAGCTACTTCTGCAAATATTTCATTATCACTTAAAATGTTTCTGAACTGGTTAGTGGACAGCTGGGTGGCTCAGTCGGTTAAGCGTCTGCCTTCTGCTGGGATCTCAGGGTCCTGGCATGGAGCCCCGAGAATCAGGCTCCTTGTTCAGCAGGGAGTCTCCCTCTGCCCCCTCCCTGCTGCTTGTGCCCGCACTCCCGCTCGCTCTATGTTCTCCCTCACTCTCAAATAATAAAATCTTAAAAAAAAACCCAAAAAACTGGTCCAGTTAAGATTTCGTAACACTCTTAGACAAAATCAGATGCTTTCTAAATTAACATCAGCTTATTTGGAAATCAACATATAATCCTCAACTTTTCTTTGAATTTGCTTCAGTGTTTAGCCTAATTGGTGCTCAGACTAGGTGCTCAACAAATCTGACTGCCCCAGCTAGAGCTAAAGGACTAAGCATCCAGATCACTCAAATCAGAACGTTCTTTAACAAGCTCAGCTTGATCCCGTGAAAAGCAAGCAGTGGGCTTTTGAAAGACAAACACGATGCACCACTGCCTCCCAGAGGCCTTGCCTGGGAGTGCTGCTCAAAACCTCCGAGTCATCATGGATCCTCTAATAAGAGCGCTCAGGCAGAGGCTCAAAGGAGAGAGGAGATTGTGTTTGATTCTGTCAACAGGGAAGCTAATTTGACTTGCAATTATTCGGCAGCTCGGGTTTACCTAACCAAAGGCTTTGGCAATAAAAAAACATGTCAGTGGGATTATCCTAATAGCTTTAATAAGGGTTTTTTAACTCAATATCAAGCCCATTTCCTAGGAGGAATGCCTGCAACTTCCCATAGAACTTAATAATTTATGCTGAGGATGCTTCTAGAACACCCAGCCCTAGCATGGTGCTTCGGTTAAAGCTTCCACTGTTTGGAATGATGCCCCAAAAGCTACTGCCCCAGGTTTTGTTAATGCAGATTTCACCACTCCCAAATCGGGGGTCAAGTGACAGCAATAGGAGATAAGACAATGCCATGCCAGTTAGTGGGATTTCATACATCGCAAGACAACAATTACCCCAGCTACCTTTTTATATCTGATGCTCAGTCTTTGAGGTACATACATCCATGCACACTTGTAGGAGGAAGACCATCTAAAGGGAAATGAAAAGGTGTTTCTAAAACTGCTTTAATGCCCACCTATTTCACTTAGCTACAAGGTGAGAGAGGAAAGACAAGAGAGGTGGAAGGAGGTCCCCACACACAAATGATTAAGCTTTTTTTAAAAAAGCACATCGGAGAGGCTAAAAACCAAGTGTGCATGTTGTAGGGAGTGGAGGGTGGGAAGAGACCCAAATCCACCAAAGACCCAGGAGTGGAGATGGAGCATTAGAGAACCTATTGTTTTGCTGTGGCTTAGGCAAGCCCGTCCCCCCCTCCCCATTTTACTGCAAGGTGGGAGTCTGAGAACCAAACAAACTGGCAGGTCACAGCCCTTAAAGGGAAACAACCAGCCATTCCTTGGAGTGGAAGGCTCTGAAACGCGTAGGTTGCGGCCAACTCATGAATAGGATGAATTCCTTCTCGGGATAATGGGGATGATGGAACGGAGATGCTGCTACTTCTCCTTGAAATTCACGGCAATGCTGAATGGACGAGCGAGGAGCCAGCAAATTCTCTAACCACCCCTGAGTAGATGCCATGAAAGGGCGGGCTTCTCACCCCATCCCCCGCAGGAAGGGGGCAGTTTTGCAGGTGTGGGCGCCCGGTCCGGGAGGGGAGCGGAAGGGAGGGAAGCCGGGAGTCCACACGGCCCTCCGCGCCTCACTCGGCCCTGGAAGCGGCGCGCACCACCCCGGGCCCACGCAGCCCGGGCCCACGCCCTACCTGGGCCGTGAGGGGAAACAGCAGCAGCAGCGCGCAGGCAGGCGCGGGCACCGAGCCCAGAGCCTCCTCCTCCAGCCCCAGCACGTCCGCGAAGCGCCACTGGCCGGCCACCCCCAGCCGGGCCAGCACCTGCGGAGAGGAAAGACGGCGGCCAGGCGCGCCGAGACCCCGCGAGCGGCGGGCGCCTGCCGGAGGGCGGGCCCGGCCCGGCGCCCTCGGTGCCCCCACCCCAGCCTGGGAGGAGTCGCAACCTGCCCCGCCCCCATCCCCCGCCGGCTCAATGACACAGCACAAAGCGCGGCCCCCACGTGGCTCCCGCGAAGCCCGCGCCACGCCCTCGGGAGCTGGGCCCGCACCCTCCCCCCACCACCTCCGACGGTTCCGCAGAGTCACCCCCCGACCCCGATGCCGCGGCACGAGGAGGGCGCCCGGGACGCCGCTGGGTCCCTGCGAGACAGCCGGAGCTGATGCGCGCCTCCGCCTCGGCGCTCCCGGGGGAAGGGGACAGAGGCAGTGCGAGACGCCACTCACTTTGTTCAGCATCTGAAAGGCAAATGCAAAAAAAAATACAAAAATAAAGCCGGTCATCGAGGCAGCTAGCTGGCGAGCGCTGACCCTCAGCTCTGCGCTCCCCGGGCGACGATGCACCCGACGCTTACCTCGGGGTTAATCTCCATCGGTTTGAGCTGCATCTTCGCGGAGCGCAGGAGGACCCGCTATCAAGAGAAAAGGAAAAACAGCAAAAGGAGCCGCCCAGGCTGCCGCTATAAAGCGCCGGCCTGACGCACTGTAGGTGCCTGCGCAGGGGGAGCAGGGGCAAAACCAAGCGACGGGGAAACGGCCAGTCGCAGCCAAATGGGCACGAACCCCCCCATGCGCCGCGCGGAATGGTACGGCCGGGCCCCCAAACCTTGCAGTCTCACTTGCTGGTGAGATAATCTGGTGGTTGTGGGGGTGGGTTTTGTTGGTGGGTGTTCCTTGAGCGTATGGAGCGGTCGTTTAGATGGAGTCTAATTTTTTGCGAACTTTCCGGAAACCTACCATTCTTACCATCCCAATTATCGGAGAGCTCAGGGTTTCTGAAGCTTTGAGAAAAAGCCCAAATTCAACAGGTATATATTTAGTATGAATATAATTATCTGTCTCCCAAATCTTGCCGCAGTTTGCATTTGACCTTAAGACAATTCATCCTCCATGCTAAATCAGATCAGTACCGAGGTTCGTTTTTAATTGACTGCCTAGGATAAACGGTATTGCATTAGTAATGCTGATGTAATGTGACTCCCGGGGAAGAATTGGTTGGTCATGGGGAAGCTATAGGAACCTTGCGGATGTGACCATAATTTAAGACAGAGAGGAGGCAGGCGGTCGGAGACTTTAGGACACAGATCCAAGGAAAAGAAAGGTACGATTTCGAGACGAGAGGGTGTAAAAGAAAACACATTTTTAAAAGAACGGGAGGCTTTGAAAAATAAAATTCAGTGGAATATTCACAGTGAAGGAGAAAGAGAATGGCAACCAAAGGAACGACTGTTCTCTAATGAGCTCAGGTGGGGCTTGTATTTCCTACTAGCATATGCAAAAGATGGAGAGAAAAAGCATATGCGGAAGAATGAATAAAAAGAAGGACAAAAATCTGTAAGAACAGTGTCAGGAGAGCTAAACCTGAGAATGAAATGGGGCTTGCAGAAACGCTAAGGAATCAAGAAGGTTGTTGTTGTTTTAATATGCTCATAACAAAATAATGATAATGGTGAAAGAATAGACCTACTGTTTAGGGGGTCCCAGGTTAATAGATGGCAGAGAGAAGAGAGGGAATTTACATTTTTTTTGGAATTATTACCTCTACAGTGGTTCAGTGGACAGATCTTTTGCATGTCATCTCCGTAATCCGTAGAGGATCCAATGAAAAAATTTACTAGTTCGACTTCACAGATTAGGATTCCTGGCTTAGAGAAGTCAATTTGCTTATGATCACAAAGAAAAATGAAACAGAAGTAAAGCCTAGTAAGTTGGGCACTAAGATCCCATTCTCTCTCCAAGTTAACATTCCATTCCACTTCTATCTTCTCCCATTTTTACCATTAGAAAAATGACCTTCACCCAGAAAAAATGAGAGAGAAACATTAGGAAGAAGAATCTAATGGATGAATTTTATCATCTCTAAACTATGCCTCAACAAGTTTTTTAAAAAGAAAAAGAAGAAGACGACGACGACTTGAAAGCCAAGACAGGTGAATAGTTCACCTGGCTATGCTGAATGAATTCTTGCCTTTAGACAGAGACGAATTACATCCCAGTTAACTTTATTTATTCAACAAATACTGATTATCTACTATGTGATGGGCACTGAGCTTAGAATTGGAATATAAAGGTAAACACAGTAGTAAATAAACACGAAACTTCCCTCATGCAGATTTTAATCAGTAATAAGAGTGATATGAAGGCAAGTAGAGCTTAGGAGCACCTTATCTCATGTGAAGAATCAGGAAGGCTTCCCGTAGGAAGTGACATTTAAGATAAGGGCTGATGGGCAGGGAGAAGTTAGCATGTGACAGTTATTACCAAAATAAATAGTAAAAATGGTCATGATAACACTAGAGAAATCTCTGTGAAAGGCATTTATTCACTCACAATAAATATATATATCAAGGGCCTACTGTGTGCCAGGAAGCATCAGAGCAATGAATAAACTCCCTGCTCACAAGGAGATGCCAGAGACCGAACAAAAACAAACCTTACTGATCTTTAGAAAGCGGGGGAGGGGTGTATTGCTGAAACTGCAGGCCAGGAGATTTGATGTCAGTCTTTAGCAAAATTCTAGGAGCCTTAGGAAAATAGAATGGCTGCATTTAGAACAAGTTATGCCAGCCAGCACTTCTCTCCTTTTCCTTTGGAGTCACCGGCTAGAAGAACAGGCAAAACATTCCCCATTGTATTCTTCATGCTGCCTGGGTTGGCATCAATTGATATCATAGTTGGGGTGGTTTTATAACTTACTTATTCTACCTTAAAAAAAAAATGCTGCTGAATGGAGTCATTTCAACCTGCAGCCACCTGGCAAGTGTTTTAACCCTTGTTTGTGCAGTTTTATTGGAGCAGAAATAGAGTGCATGCATGCAAGCAAGAATAAGTAATCTGAAAGGCAGAATTATGAGATTTAGAAAAATGAATTAAAAATAAAGATGAGGGGCGCCTGGGTGGCTCAGTCGTTAAGTGGCTGCCTTCGGCTCAGGTCATGATCCCAGGGTCCTGGTATCGAGCCCCGCATAGGTCTCCCTGCTTGGCAGAGAGCCTGCTTCTCCCTCTCCCACTCCCCCTGCTTGTGTTCCTTCTCTTGCTGTCTCTCTCTCCATCAAATAAATAAATAAATAAAATCTTTTAAAAAAAATAATAAAGATGAAATTTAATAGAGATTTTGGTGATGATTGTACACTCCTAAGAATATACCAAAAAACTTTAAATTTTTTTTAAGATTTTTAAAATTTATTTGACAGAGAGACAGCGAGAGAGGGAACACAAGCAGGGGGAGTGGGAGAGGGAGAAGCAGGCTTCCCGCCAAGCAGGGAGACCTATGCGGGGCTCGATCCCAGGACCCTGGGATCATGACCTGAGCCGAAGGCAGAAGCTTAATCATCTGAGCCACCCAGGCGCCCTCTTCCAGTGGTTTTGTAAGCACCAAATTCCCTGTATTAAATCCCTGTCTATTTATTTATTTATTTATTTATTTATTTATTTATTTATTTATTTATTTATTTTCCCTTTCTATTTAAAATGCCTAGAGTAGAGGCGCCTGGGTGGCTCAGTCCGTTAAACATCTGCCTTCAGCTCAGGTCATGATCCCAGGGTCCTGGGATCCAGCCCCATGTCGGGCTCCCTGCTCAGTGGGGAGTCTGCTTCTCCCTTGCCCTCTGACCCTACCTCCTACTCGTGCTCTCTCTCTCTCTCAAATAAATAAATAAATAATCCTTTAAAAAAATAAAATAAAATACCTAGAGTAGTTTGAGATTCCTGTATTAGCATACTGCATGTGAATCACAAAAATGTAGTAGTTATTTGTTTTAATACCCATCAGAGAAATTGTATGTTCTTGTATGTGTATATAATTAGAATATCGTGTTTGTGATTTTACCCATGTTAAACCTTTGGGCAAGTCTAACATATACTAAGCAAATTGTATCATTGGTCTATAAGATACAGCAAAAATCACAGGAGTCATTCACAAATCTCAATGATAGAAAAACTCTTCTCTAAGGACATAAGAGTTTTGCTAGTTGAAGGGGTAGAGTATACAATGTATTTATGAAAGCAGGATATCAAGCACTGAAGCAATGCTTCCCAAATATTCTGAGGTGTGGGTATTCTAAGATGCACACGTTTTTCATGTTTAAACATTTTTTTTATGGTTACCCATAGGGTACCCAAGGAGGGAGATGAGGAAGGAAGGAAAACTAGCCTTTTTTGTTATGCAAAGGACATTGTATTTGTTATCCTCAATGACTCCTCATACCAATTCTCCAGTATCCGTATGTCTATGTTGATTTTACAGATAAGTAAACTGAGGCCTCAAGAGAAGCTGTTTAACCTGCTAAAGTTCACATAGCTACTAAGTGTCTGAGTCTGGGTTTCAACCCAACTTCATTTGATTTCAAAACTTGTGCATGTTCAACTCTTCTGCCTGCTTCCATCTATGGCCCAGCCCTAGGACCTTAGTCATTACCACTAGAAATAAGGATGAAGCTCAGCCACTGAGAAGAGCTGAAATGATTTCTGCAATGTCCAGGGCCAGAGCAGGTCACCAACCCTCTGATAAGCATTGCTCACTTTGAGGTCTAAGAGTCTAGTTTGAACTTATAATTAGCATGACATTAATAATTGACAGAGTACATCTCAACATTTTTAAACGTACTTGACAATTCCTCTGTCAATAATATGTCCCCAGAAGTAAGTTCTGACATCCACAGATTTTTAAGTTAAAAATAACACCAAAAAAGATGACACGTAATGCAAAGAAACTACCCCACTTAGTTCCCATGGCGAAGTCAATTTCCCTCCTGTTTTCCTAAAAGCAGTTCATTTACTGGGTTGTCACAAGTACATCGAAAGGAAGAAAGATAAATGTGAAGGAGGAGAATACATGTTCTCCTTGACTTATACCTTACATGTATTCATATAGTCACTCAACAAATGTTTTTTGAGTATGTACTATGTGCCGGACACTATACTAGGCTTCCCTGGGTTGGGAGTGGGGTTGGCAGATGACAGACACAAGGCTTAAACCGTGTTTCCTAACTTTTTAAGATAAATCATCAGTTTAAAGCTGCTTTTCAAGGGGGTAGGAGGGGGACCCAGTGCACCACATGCATTTATCAATTGTAAGGCATTTTCCTTTAAAAAATGTTTAAACAGAGGCGCCTGGGTGGCTCAGTTGGTTAAGCGACTGCCTTCGGCTCAGGTCATGATCCTGGAGTCCCGGGATTGAGTCCCACATCGGGCTCCCTGCTCAGCAGGGGGTCTGCTTCTCCCTCTGACCCTCTTCCCTCTCTTGCTATCTGTCTCTCATTCTCTCTCTCTCAAATAAATAAATAAAATCTTAAAAAAAAAAATGTTTAAACATGAAAAACGTGTGCATCTTAGAAACAGGGAAATGGTCTTTTGTATCAAACTCTTCACATTAAATTCCCGGGCAGTTTGTACTCAGAGAAATGAGGATTTCATGAACTCTAAGATTTCTCTTAGTCCAGCATACTAAGGACCTTGAGCAGCAGAAAATAAAAGATACATAGACCAAATCATATAAAAGTTTGGGTTAAGTCTCCTTTCATCTCTAGTTCCTTTGCCATTAGGCCTTTTTAATGTCACTAGGATACAATAAGCAAGATTGATCAGTTAAAACCAGCTTCTGAAGTGTCCTTCAGACCCATTTGTTATCTATTTCCTTTTACCAGGAGATTAGTATATGAAGAATATGATAAGCAGAAAAAATTTAAGTCTATAAATATACCAGAAAGAAATGTTTTCTTGAGAACACTGCTGAGTCTTAACCTAACCAAGCATTTTTTTTTTTTTTCCAGAATCCTTAGAGTGAACAAATCAATATATAGATGTCTAGTGTCTTGGTCTTACTTGGACATTTAGCTTCAATGGCCTAAGGATATGAAGCAATAAAAAGAGAACATCTGAACAAGTCAAATTGGAAAAATAACCAAAAACCCTCAACCCCAAACCGTAAGAGACTCTTAATCATAGGAAACAAACTGAAGGTTGCTGGAGGGGAGGGGGGTGGGGGGATGGGGTAACTGGGTGATGGACATTAAGGAGGGCGCGTGATATAATGAGCACTGGGTATTATATAAGACTAATGAATCATAGAACTGTACTTCTGAAACCAATAATACATTATATGTTAATTAATTGAATTTTTTTTAAAAAGTTAAAAAAAAAACCCTCAACCCATAAATCTACCACCTTAAGAAATTGATAGTTTCATTTCTCCACATACTCCTCCCAGTACTTCGCCATTTATGTGGCCAACTCTGCTGGGTTCCCAACCAGAATTTATTCTCTTCCTCCTTCCTAACTGGCTGCTCACTGTTCTAACCCCAGCTCCACTATGCTTTCTCAGACCCCAGCTCAAATCTATTTTCTTTTGTGAGGGGGTGATGGGAGAGGAGAAGAAAGGAGGACTGTCCTTGAAGATCTTTGTTGACTCTTGGGAGCCCAGCAGTATATCAAAAAGTGTGTCCTATGCAGTGTGTTAGTAGACCTTCAGTGGAAGAGCCCCTCAGAGCAGGAGGTCAGCCGTAATGCCAGAAGCAGATACCCTGTTTGTTTCTTTTTCTCAGCTGTGAAACTTTCCCCAACAGCCCTTACCCCTTGAACACTGCTCTTGTGAAAACTGACCAGAACTGAGCCTCATGCTCTCTGTCAATTAAATAAATAAATAAAATCTTTATTAAAAAATAAATAAAAAAAAAAGAAAAGAAAAAAGAGAAAGAAATCCATGCTTAAATATAGGCAATGAAACTGCAGAAAACCACAAACAAGGAAAGAGTTTAGAATCATAAATGAAGATAACACCATTCTCCTCCACAGAACCAAGGAAGTCAAAAGACAGTGTGGAATAATATACCTTTAAAATGTTGAGAGAAAATAACCATCATCCTTGAATTTCTTTTCAGCAAAACCATTTTTTCAAAACAAAGGTGAAAAAAATTATATACAAACAGAAGCTGAGTTGACTACCTAGATAACTATAGAAAAGAAACTTCTAAAAGATATAATTTAAAAAATAATGATCCAGTAGATGGTCTGAGAAAAATGATTAAAATAATATTCAGGGGAGGTATGTATGTAAACCCAAATAAATAGATTTGTGTATAATAATATCTAGTGTATAAATAAAAAAATAGCAGTAAAATACTGTTCAACATAATAATACATATGATGGGAGAAAGTGCAATGAGAGTAAAAGTATTCCAAGGTCCTTTTATTATTCTGGCCGAAGTTAAGAAATTAACTTTAGACTTTATTAAGTGAAATAGTCGTGATAACATCTCAAGGGAAATCAATAAAGAAAAGAAAAATATATAAATCCAAACAATTAGAGAGAAATAGAATAAAGAAAAAAATACATAATCAAATCCCCAAAAACGCATGATAAGAGAAAACCCAGAAAATCCAGGACAAATAGGATTAACAAGGTAAGATAGGAAAAAGTCCAAATAAGTCATACTAAATATAAATGACTAAACTTAGATGTTTTATCAAATTAGATTTTAAAAATCTAGCTAATGTGCTATTTTTTTTAAAGATTTTATTTCTTTACTAGAGAGAGAGAGAGAAGAGAGCATGAGTGGGGGGGTGGGTTGTGGGAAGGGCAGAGGGAGAAGCAGACTCCCCACTGAGCAGGGAGCCTGACATGGGGCTCGATCCCAGGACCCTGGTATCTTGACCTGAGCTGAAGGCAGACACTTAACCGACTGAGCCACCCAGGTTCCCCTAGATGTGTCCTATTTTTGAGAGACATGCCTAAAGTATAAGGATATGGCAAGATTGAAAGTAAAAGGAAGGGGAAAAGTTTTCCAGGAAAAATATCAACCAAAGAAACCTAGTATAACTATATTAATATCAGCATCAGCATAACACATTGTTAAGCAAAGACATTATTAAAGATAGAGGCCATTGGGTTTTTTTTAAGATTTTATTTTTTAATTTATTTTTTAAAGATTTTATTTATTCATTTGACAGAGAGAGAGAGAGCACAAGTAGACAAAGTAGCAGGCAGAGGGAGAGGGAGAAGCAGGCTCCCCGCTAAGCAAGGAGCTGGATATGGGACTCGATCCCAGGACCCCAGGATCATGACCTGAGCTGAAGGCAGACGCTTAACCAACTGAGCCACCCAGGCGCCCCAATAGAGGCCATTGTTATGATTATTTAATTCACCAGGATGGTATAATGAGTCCAAAATTGTACACTTCTAATAAAGCAGCCTCAAATGTGTAAAACAAAAATTGATAGGATTACAGGGAAAATGGATAAATCCACTATCACCATGAACCAACCTTTCTCAATTATTAATGGGTCAAGTGGACAGTGTAGTAAGGAGTATGGTTCTGAGTTAAAACATTTGTGCGATTTCTCAGGCCTGACCTTAGGCAATTACAGCGGCGTTATGTGGCAGGCCTCCTGGGGGCAGCGTCCCATCCCACACCGGACCCCAAGCACTGCAGCCCTTGAGAAGAGCTGAAGTCAAGGACTTACGCCTCTCTGGCCAATCATGCTCTTTCACATATATGCATCCCTAGTGCCAGAGTCTTTATTTCTAGGTGTCTTTTTCCGAGCCTGGGGCACAGGTCTTCCAGGTACCCCTTCGGAGGCCTCCTTCTAGGGAGCAGAGGGGGAAACCCTGAGGGCACCTCTACCCAGGCTGACTCAGAATTTTTCCACTCCTAGCCCTTCCCCCTTGTCCTCACTGGGACCACCCAGTCGATAAAACTATTAGACTCTTGTTCCGGGGCTCCCTCAATGGTGGGGTGACCCTCACATCTGCACTGATCCACCTGACTTTGATCAGCGTGCTGTTCCCTGTGGGAAAATACAACAGGGGAGTCTGCATTCTCTCCACTTTAGCCTCTTGCTTGTACCATAGCATTAAGTGAATAAAGGCTCAGCTCTTTCATTCTTGGCATGTTGCTTTAATCAGCTACTCTGAAACCTAGCAGCTTGCTTGCTCTCTCTCTCTCTCCCCCATCTCAGCTGGCAGAGCTCCTGGCATATAAAAGATTAAACAAAGTCTTTTTGAACAGTACAACTAACAGTCCTAATCTAACGGACATACATAAAACTCTGTACCCGACCATTTTAAAATGTGCATTGTTCTCAAGCGTTCATGGAGCATTTACAAAGGTCGATTAAATGCCTCGTCATAAAGCATGACTCAACAAATTCTCATAGAATCAGTATTATGCAGACAGTGTTTTCTAAATGCAATGCAATTAATTCAGATACCAACAATAAAATGACAAATGAGACCTATAAAATTAACTTTGGATATTAAAATGTAAATTTTTTGGTAATCATTGTTCAAAGTAAAAGTCATTAATTGAAATTTGAAAATATTTAAAACTGAACAATATTAAAAGTTGAAATATCAAAATTTATGAGATGCAATGAGAGTAATATTTGAGGGAAATTCATAACATTAGATGCTTATATTAGAAAAGAAGCAATGTGGAAAATTAGTGAGCTCAGGATCCAACGGAAGAAGTTAGAAAAATAAACTCAAGGCAAGTAGGAAAAAGTAGATAATAATGAGCAGAAATAGATGATATAGTAAAACACAATAGAGATGATCAACAAAAGTTGGTTTTTAAAAAAAGATTAATAAGGGAGGGAAACAAAAAAAATTAAAAATAAAAAAAGATTAATAAACTAGACAATCACCAGGCAGGATTTGTGGGGGAAAAAGAGATTATTACACAAATAGAAAATATTAAAAATATAAAGTGGGAACACAGTCACATACACATTACAGATTTAAAAGACAGTAAGAGAATACCATGAACAATTTTATGTCAATTTGAAAACTCAGAGAAAAAATGTAAATACCTAGAAAAAATAGAAAGCCTGCTCGTATAATAAAGTAATTAAAACTCTTTCAATAAAAAAGTACTCAGCCTTATATGCTTACGAGACATCCAAGGAACAGATCATTCCATTCCTACATCAACTATTCCTGAGAAGCTGAAGAAGGGAAATGTTGGCTGACATCAGGGAAAATGGCAGTATAAGGTCTTTTAAAAATGTCCCCCTGTGTGAAAGCATTTCTCTATACATCCTCCATCAACACTTGTTATTTTCCTTTGGTTCTAGCCATCCTCGTGGGTGTTAGATGGTATCTCATGGTCATTTTGATGTGTCTTTCCCTGATGGCTAATAGTGCTGAGCTTCTTTTCATCTGTTTATTGGCCATTTTATATCTTTGGAGAAATTTCTCTTTAACCTTTTGAATCCACTCCAATAATAGTTTTGCTCACAGCACTCCACCCAAATCTTCCTTGATATAGCCACATTTTACTTCAAGAATACTTTCTTGTCGTCCTTTTCCTAAGATGACCTGCAGCATTCTGTCCCATAAACACTTTCCTTCCTCAGCATCCAGGACAGACAACTCTTCTGGGATTTCCTCCCTCCTCACTGACTCTCCTTTTCTGTCACCCTTGTCATCTCTAGACATTAGGTGGTCCCCATCACTCAGTGGTTGAATTTCTTCTGTTCTCTGTACTCATGCCCTTGAAGACCTCATGCAGCTCATGGTCTTAAATCCTGTCTTTATGCTGGGAACTCCCAAATTTATATCTCCAGTCAGACCTCCCCTCTGATCTCCTGTCCAGTGCTTACTCTATATGTCCATTTTGATGTTTAGCACCTAACTTGTCCCCAAATGAATTCTTCATCCTCTCTTCAGACCTGCCCTTCTACACTCTTCCCCATCCAGACAAAGTCAACTTCATTGAACTTCTAATTGCTCAGGCAAAAAATTTCAGCATCACCCCTGGGTCCTCTCTTTCATACCCCAAAGTCCATCAGCAAATCCTGGCAGCTCTATCTTCAAAACATACCCCAAATTCTTGAGAAAATTCTCCAGAAAACTGAGAAAATTATAGGGCAGTCATTAAAAATAACATGCAGACATTTTATGATTAAAACATAGAGTAGAAAGGTGGCATGCAAGTCCTATGTGCGATGTGATTCCAACAATGTAAAATATGCTTTGAATAAAGATTTGAAAGTCACAGAACTAATATCCTAAAAAAGAGGTATTTTCATATTGTCCCATATTTTTCTTTGAAAATATTTATCCAGCTATAAAACTGCTGGGAAGATTTCAGTGTTTATAATATTGACAGAGGGATGCCTAGGTGGCTCTGCCTTCGGCTCAGGTCATGATCCCAGGTCCTGGGATTGAGTCCCACATCAGGCTCCCTGCTCAGCAGGAAGTCTGCTTTCCCCTCTCCCATTGCCCCTCCCCCTGCTTATGCTCTCTCTCTCTTTCTCAAATAAATAAATAAAATCTTAAAAAAAAAAATAAAGAGGACAATCACCCAAGGGGTATCAAAAGGCAGCTTCTAAAGAGGTAGATTTCTCTTTTCTGACAAGTTGAAAGAAACTGGGTTGAAGGAAGCTTTGTCAGAACATACCACATTGGATCTTCTCTCCAAGGCCACCAACAAAGTCAAGTTCATGGCTGGGACTTTGTGGTCTTAGTGAAATCTAGGGGCACCTGGGTGGCTCAGTCGATTAAGTGTCTACCTTCGGCTCAGGGCATGATCCCAGGGTCCTGGAATCCAGTCCCACATCAGCCTCCCTGCTCAGTGGGGAGTCGGCTTCTCCCTCTCCCTTTGCCCTTCCCTGCTTATGCTCTGTCTCATTCTCTCTCTCTCTCAAATAAATAAATAAAATCTTTAAAAAATATATAATATTGACAGATGTTTGTAGAGTACAGTAGCATTTTAAATAGTTCTGTGACAGGGTGCCTGGGTGGCTCAGTCGGTTAAGCGACTGCCTTCGGCTCAGGTCATGATCCTGGAGTCCCGGGATCGAGTCCCGCATCGGGCTCCCTGCTCGGCAGGGAGTCTGCTTCTCCCTCTGACCCTCCCCCCTCTCATGCTCTCTGTCTTTCATTCTCTCTCTCACAAATAAATAAATAAAATCTTTAAAAAAATAAAATAAAATAAAATAATAAATAAATAAATAAATAGTTCTGTGACATAAGTAGGAAAAGGCACTCATTTTTGGAGACTTACTTGTACCATATACTTTGCAAATTGTTTTGCGATATACTGTCTCATTTAGTTCTCTGACTCTTCTACTTTAAAAAAAAAAAAAAAAGATTTCTTTATTTTGAGAGAGAGAGGAGAGGAGCAGAGAGAGAAGAAGAGAGAGGATCCCAAGCACGGAGCCCAACGTGGGGCTCAATCCCACAACACTGAGATCATGACCTGAGCCGAAACCAAGAGTCAGACTCCCAACCGACTGAGCCACCCAGGCACTCTTCTGACCCTTTTAAAAAACACAGCTTTATTAAGGTATAATTGACATACAATCAATGTTTAAAATGTCTAATATGTAATTTGATGAGATTGACATATGTATATATCTGTGAAATCGTTACCAGATCAAGGTTGTGGGCATATCCACCACCTCAAAAGTTTCCTTGAACACCTTTGTAATTCTTTCCTCCTGCCTCTCCCTGCTTCTTGGCTCCCCCAGCAACCACTGATCTAATTTCTGTCACTATGGATTAGTTTGCATTTTTTAGAGTTTTATATGGAATTATAACATTATGTACTCTTGTCTGGCCTTTTCCAAACAATCTTTTTAGGTCTTATTCACATCTTATGGTTGAAGAAATAGATTCATAGAAGTTATGATACTTTCCTAAAATCATGCAGTAATAAGAGATGGCCCTGGACTTCCCATCCATTTCTGCCTGTCACCTCAATGTGCTGAAAGTAAAGCCCCACATCGTTCAATTAATTGTCAAAAATTACAATACCAGTAAGTGGCCAAGGTAGGACAGAAACCCACTATGCCACATGTTTCTCGGTTATTTATGTGGCTATTGGAAGGAGCATTATGATAACTTTTAGATTTCTTTTTTTTTAAAGATTTTATTTATTTATCCTGAGAGTTAGAGAGAGAGAGCGAACACAAGTAGGCAGAGTGGCAGAGAGAGGGAGGGAGAAGCAGACTCCTGGCTGAGCAGAGAGCCCGATGGGGGCTCCATCCCAGGACCCTGGGATCATGACCTGAGCCGAAGGCAGATGCCCAACCATTTGAGCCACCCAGGCGCCCTGAGATTTCTTTTTTTTTAGATTATTTATTTATTTATTTATTTATTTGTCAGAGAGAGACAGCGAGCGAGCACAAGCAGGGGGAGTGGCAGGCCGAGAGAGAAGCAGGCTCCTCGCTGAGCAAGGAGCCCGATGTGGGACTGAATCCCAGGACCCTGAGATCGTGACTTGAGCTGAAGGCTGAGCCACCCAGGTGCCCCTAGATTTCACTAAGACCACAAAGTCCCAGCCATGAACTTGACTTTGATGGTGGCCTTGGAGAGAAGATCCAATGTGGTATGTTCTGACAAAGCTTCCTTCAACCCAGTTTCTTTCAACTTGTCAGAAGCTGCCTTTTGATACCCCTTGGGTGATTGTCCTCTTTATTTTTTTTTTAAGATTTTATTTATTTATTTGAGAAAGAGAGAGAGAGACATCAAAAGAGAGAGAGAAAGAGAGCACGAGTGGGGTGAGAGGCAGAAGGCGAAGCAAACTCCCTGCCGAGCAGGGAGCCTGATGTGGGGCTCAATCCTAGGACTCCTGGGACTCCTGGGACTCCTGGGACTCCCGGGACTCCAGGATCATGACCTGAGCTGAAGGCAGACACTTAACCGACTGAGCCACCCAGGCGTCCCTGATTGTCCTCTTTAGCAAAACGCCTGAACTGTGGTTAAGGAGAACTGCTGGTAGTTAGGGTTCCTTCTGTTCTTCCATTCTCTGCTCCTTCTCCTCTCTCTCCCTTCCCTCATTCCTTTCCTTTTTCCCCTTCAGTTTTCTCTTTTAAAGATTCATTTGCAATTTATCCTCATTGTCACTTTTGTTACCACTGCTTTATGATGTAGGTGACCTAGACTGCCAGAATAATGCACAGCATCAGAGCAAAATGCTTGGTTTGTGATTTCCAAAACCGCCACGTTGTTATAGCTTGATTTGCAATTAATACATTTCCGAGGCTTATATGATACCTTTCTATCTCAGAGATCATGTAAGTTTTACCTTGAACACCTTTTCAGTAATTGCAAAGTGTAATTACTGCCTTTGGAGTTGTTTACATATTGAAAAAAACAAGTTTATAAAGACAGAAGCAGTTTACAAGCAGTAAGATGACACCCTGAAAAAAGTATTAAAATTATTGAATGCTTGTCAGAAAGGCGGGGAAAAGACCTTTATAGTCTTTTAAATCATCTGTTTAAAAAATGATTTTAATTGTGTGCAACTATTGTATTTTATGTGTGTGAAGTTAAATGTCAGAAACCATATTTCTGAAGATCTCAGCTAGCTAACCTATGAAAAATAATGTTCTATATCCACTGGGGCAAAGTTTTTAAGGAAATACAAGGAGCTATGGCAGCAACTCCCATATCACAAGTGCAAGCTGGAATACTCCGGGGACCACATGTCAATATGAACGTTAATTGGTACATGAGACGGACTTCTAAAACAGCAAGCCGGAAAGGAATCGAAATCATCTTTAGAGACTGGCTACACATGCCTCATATCCTTGGATTTAATGCCCAGCAGCTCAGCAGAGTAGGAAGACAGTATGAAACAATTCTTTAAATGATGCTATTGATAAGGAGGGACAAGTTAACCTCCATCCTTTCTCCTAAACAATTCCAGGTTGGGGCACCTGGATGGCTCAGTTGGTTAAGTGTCTGCCTTCGGCTCAGGTCATGATCCCGGGGTCCTGGGATCAAGCCTCACATCGGGCTTCCTGCGCAGCGGGGAGTCTGTTCCTCCCTCTTTCTCTGCCCCTCTCCCGCTTGTTCTCTCTCTCTTTCTCAAAATAAATAAATACAATCTTAAAAAAAAAAAATTCCAGGTTGTAGATTTGAGTTTGTACTTATGAGACCCTGAAATAGCATTAAGTCCGTTTTTTAAGAGGCAGACCAACTGTATACATGAAACCTGGCAAAATTTTAATAAAGAAATAAACAAAATATTTCTTCTATGAAGAAATTCTTCATGACTTCTATGCTTGTGGAACCTGATTGTTCTCATCTCTGATATTTTCAAACTTACCTTCTATTCATTTTTATGTAGCAGTCCAGGCCTAAGAGGTTGTACATAGGGCAAAATTGATGTCGGTGATGAGAGAGAACTAAATATAGCATGGTAAAGCAGTCAAAGTTTTCAGTTTAAAATATCCAATTGAAAACATGAAATCCAGAGGACAAAAAAGTATAAAATGAACATTAGGGTAAAAGGTGGGAAATGAAATGTTCTAATTCAGGCCAGATTCCAACTCTTTTGACTTCAGCGGTGTTTTATTCTAGGGATACCTGGATCTCTCTATTTTTATATGTCCTACATTCTATGAGCACAAAGAGTGGAGAAGACACAGAATGTGCCAAAATGAGGATACCCACATATTTTCCAATTACCTTGGCAGAATTACGTCACCTCTCTGAACTTCTCTGGTATGTAAAATGAGTCTGCTCACAGCGCCCTGGGGATTGCGTTCATGTATTAAGTGCTTAGCAAATAGAAAGCCCTCAGACATGCTAGTTATTATCAGGGGAAGGACTAAAAACATAAAATGGTGTCATGGAAGTCCGAGTTCTTGCCTTTTCTTGCACTGGTCTACAGGATGGAGCCTGTTTTTGTCTCTCGTTCCAAGTAGCCAACACGGTCTGCCACTGCTCATCAAACTTGACTCAAATACCCCTTACAGCAGAAGAACCTTGAACTCTGGGAGCCCTTAGTTGCCTGCCTCAGGAGAGATGTGCCTTTTGAGATGATATGTTTCAGCTAAAAAGTGGTTTTTGTCCATTTTGTACTTTCCTTCATAAGAGAGGTGCATTTGTTCTAATACAAAATATTTCTCTGGGGCGCCTAGGTGGCTCAGTTCGTTAAGTGTCCCACTCTTGGTTTCGGCTCAAGTCATGTTCACAAGGCTGTGAGATCGAACCCAGGGTCAGGCTCCATGCTCGGCGCTGAGTCTGCTTAAGATTCGCTCCCCCTCTCTCTCCCTCCTCCTCTGCTCCTCCACCTGCTTGTGCTCACTGTCTTTCTCTCAAATATAATATATAATATAATATAATATAATATAATATAATATAATATAATATAATATAATATAATATAATATAATAATATAATACAATATAATATAATACAATATAATATGATAAAATATTTCCCCCATGTTTTCTAGCACATTGTCACTCCAGAAGTATTTCTAAGTATTCCTGAAACGTGGTTGCATGTTCCCAGGGTGTGAAAAACCCAGTTTGAGAAACAGACTTGCTCCCAGCCCTTAGGATCTCTTTAGTTCGGAAGAATCAGTGAAAGCAGATCCTTTGTCCCAAGCAGGTAGTTGTCCTCTCTGAGGACCTGTAACTAGCATGGTTTTCACTTTTCTGGAGCTGCCTCCTCTCTCATGGGTGTTCCCTTATTGCTGGTTGTCTCCAGTTTTAAAGAAGCGGAGCCAGAGAGAAGAATTCAGTGCACTGTGATTTATTGATGGTAAAGCCTTATATCCAGGAAAAGCCTTAAAGGGAGGGAAGGAAGCAAAATAAAGGAGGAGAAAGAGCCAAGCGGGGTTGTGGTCTCAGGTCAAGTCTGACCTTGGCCTGATCCACCGGGGAAAAGCATGAACCTCCCTGCAGAATTGTCCTTCCTTTGAGACAAGGCAGCAGCCCCTCTACCCCAGAGTCTGTCACTTGTGCTGTCTTGGTGGCCTGTTTGAACGCTCCATCAGGCTAGCAGCTTCCAGGTGGGGTGTTTGGAGACCCAATCAGTGGATCCTTTGCTCTTGAGCTCATCCCACATCTCCTTGGCTGTAAAGTGGGTCTCCTCGCTTTGTGTGCTCCCCTGGCAGGAGGAATCCAACGCGAAGTCCTCGGATAGTAAAGCAGGATGAAGCCCTGTAGACAGGAGAGGCTAAGGCACGCTAGTGATACATGGCTGTTTCTATGAAGATGAGCTGCTGGTGCTCTCAGGATGGAAGAGATCCAGTATAGTCACTGCAAGGGATCAATGTGAGGCTCTGTAGGATGTCCAGAAAGTGCAGATCTCTTAACACTACATTAGGATGGAACATGAAAAAGGAAACACAGCTCTGAGGCAAGACCATAAATGTATACTGCTGCCAATTCCATGGGAGAACAAAGTGTTTCTGCCCTTCCTTTTGGATTGGAAATGGAAAAGTATCAAATCAGTGGCTGCATGCCATGTAACAGAGGCCATATTAATCTGCTCTAACAAGGATCCCACTCCTGACAGGTAGATATGGTAAAGCTACTGCTTGTGGTCTGTTGTCCTCTTCCAGGATCCATCTGGCCTCTCCTGAGAGCAACCCCTGGTATCACTACCATGCATCCCCACAGGCTGTTGCAGGACCCTTATTCCTAGGGACTCGGTCAATGAGTCTGGGACTGAAAACTGAATCACGTCCTGAACCAGGCAAGGAATTATAACTTCTCATTGGGGTAACCTCTCTTAGTCTCATGGTCTTTCATCCTTGATTTCTTCTATTCGAAAGTGGTATCCTCATCAATTGCCCATCTGTTTTGCCCCTGGGGACATCATGTTCTACTATCTCAATACACCTCTGCAAGTCAGACTGCCTATTTATTGCCAACCTGACCTTGTTGATTATTATAATTGCAACCCTTGGCTATATACATAGGAGTAGAATTGCTGGATTAAATGGTGATTCTATGTTTAACCTTTTGATAAACTGCCAGACTGTTTTCCAAAGTGGCTGCATCATTTTGCATTCCCACCAGCAGGGGATGAGGATTCCAATTTTTCCACGTCCTCCCCAGCCCTTGTTTTTCTCCTTTTGATTCTAGCCATCCTAGTGGGTATCTAATTGTGGTTTTGATTTGCATTTCCCTAAAGGCTAATGATGTTACTTATCTTTCAAGTGTGATTTGGCCATTTGTAGATCTTCTGGGAAGATACATCTATTTGGATCTTTTTGCCCATTTTAAAAATTGAGTTACTTGTCTTTTTATTATTGAGTTGTAAGAGTTCTTTGCATATTCTAGATACAAGTCCGTCATCAGATGTATGATTTACAAATACTTTCTCCCATTCTGGGGGTTATCTTTCCATGAGGTCATCTAGCAGGACCCTCACTTCAACATCTGCTTACTGAGTACCTGGTAGATGACTGATAACACTCTAGATGTCAGGTATTTGCAGATCAGTAAGGCATGTTTTCCACCTGCAGGAAAGGTGAAGCAGCACAGACTTGAGACACCCGGATCAGCTCCTGGTTTTCCTCAGTCCTCTGGCCACTCCTCATCTCTCCAACCTTTTCAGTTGCCCCAGAGCTCAGTCCTGAACTCTTCTCTTTTCTAATTATTCTCATTCTCCTAATGATCTTATCTATCGGTAAATAAATGGTCCCCAAATGCGTATCTCTATCTCAGGATCCCTCCCCTGCTTGCCAGACTCGTCTATACAATTGCCCAGTTGATGTATTTCCCTGTATATCTAATAGACATCACAAAGTTAAGGGACTAAATCTGAACTTCCGTTATTACTCTCAAAATTGTTCTACCCCTAGCCATCTGTGTCATTAAATGGCAGTCCTGTTCTTCATCATTCAAGTCAAGAACCTTACAGTCATCTTTGACTCCTCTTTTTCTCTCACACCCAACATTCTGCTTGACAGCAAATTCTAATATCTCTACATTCAAAATATATCCAGATTATTTTTTTCTTCCCCCCCCCCCTTTTTTTTTTAAAGATCTTACCTTTTTATTTGACAAAGAGAGAGAGAGCACAAGCTGAGAGAGCAGGAGATGGAGAAGCAGGCTCCCCGCCAAGCAGGGAGCCTGACGTGGGGCTTGATCCCAGGACCCCGGGACCATGACCCAAGCTGAAAATAGATGCCCAACCAACTGAGTCACCCTGATGCCCCAAAATATATCCAGATTCTAACAACTTGTCACCACCTGACTCAGTGCTAACAGCTGGGTTTGAGTCAATAGCATCTCTCATCTGGATTATTGCACTGGCCTTTAATTCATCTTCCTACTTCTGCCCTTATCTGCCTCCTACAGTCTATTCTTAACATAGCAACATGAGTGAATTCATTTAAAATGTCAGATCATGTCACTCTGCTTATAACCCTCCCATGGCTTTCTATCTTAAGCAGAGAAAAAGCTGAAGCTCCTATAGTATTCTATGAGGCCATACACCACCTTGTCTCTCTCCCCTTACCTCTGTATCTCATCTCCTCCTAGTCTCCCCTTCACTAACACCACTCAGCTACACTACTTCCTCAGTCATGTTCATGCTCAGGGCCTTTGCACTTGCTGTTCTCTTTGCCTGGAATACTCTTCCTGAGGTAGCCTTTTGACCACCCCCTTACCTTTCTCAGGCCCTGGCTTAAATATCTTTGTATCTATTAGGGTTCAGTCAGGGAAACAGAGCCACTGTGAGTGTTGTGGGACAAGGATTTATTATAGGAATTAGATCATACATAGCTGTGGGACCAACTGGGGACATAAAAGTCTGGAATGGTGACATTCACTAGCCAATTCTCCTGAAGCACTGATGCAAGACAGAGCTTGCTGGGAAATCTGAGAAGCCAAGAACATTCAGCCGCTAAAGTAGACCACGAAGGGGGTAGTTTATGGAGAGATCTATGGAAATCTGTTTCTTCTGTGTAGTTATAGCCTCTGTGAGTTAACAGCCGAGTATCTGGTGGCAGGCCTGGGGTCACTCTTGGCTGCTCTTCTAAACATATTTAATTTTCAAATAAAGATAAGAGCAAAAATATGCTTCTACTTAATATGATGCAACTATTTCTCAAGCAGCTTATAATGCAAAATTCTACTTTTTCAATAATAGAGTTATGGATACATTCATTTTGTAGCTGAGTTAAGCCCCTCTTTGATATTCTGTAATATAAATCCTAAAATTTAAGGTTGACTGCTATTAACACATTATGTTAGATAGTAGGAAAATGGAACAGAGAAAAAGAAAATATATACACAAATACATTCCTATCAGAGGAAGAAAGAAATGTTCATAACCACTATAGTCCTTGTTTCTGCAACTGATCATTTGATCATCATTCATATTTATGACTTCCTTCTTCTATTCCCATAGGCCTTCTTGGCTGTCAGCATGGATTGAGATGAGAGAAGGCACTGTAGCAAGAATGGAAGTCATAGGGGTGAGTCACTTGCTCACATGACTTACTTATGCCTTCAGGATCTGCCAGAGGCCCATCTTGACCACTTCCATTTAAAGATGGAGTGCTGCTGGGCACATCCAGCTCTATGGCTTGATGGGTCAGCTAATACCCACATTATAGGAGCTTTAGTGTGAATAGTTCAGTCTTTGCTAGGGCCCAACAGCAGCTAGAAGCTGTTCCTCAAAAAGGAGGATAGTTCTATTCAGAGGGTGGCATAGTTTTGCTCAAAATCTAACAGTCTGAACTGAGGAGCCGGTGAATGGCTCCATACGGCATCCCTATCGGTCACAGACACTTTGATCACCAGGAGATTTATGGGGCCAGACAGCCCAGATGGCCATGCAGGTTTCATGGCAGCCCGGACCCATTGGAGAGTCATCTCTTTCTCTGTACTCCAACCAAAATGGGGAATCCTTTGGGTTGTTGGGTAAATGGGTCAAAGCAGCAGTCCTAAATATGTATATTGCTTCCCAAACACCCTAACAATATAAGGTATTCTACTTTTTCCTATTGATAAGGGGACCATATGCAGCAACTTGTCCTTACCCTTGGAAGGGATATTTTGATGTGGCCCATGCTCTGGACTCCTAGAAATTTCATTGAGGTGGTAGGTTCCCAAATTTTTGTGTTTTATATCCCACCATCCGGCCCTGTGTGTCTATCTGAGGTGTCTAGGGTGGTTGCTATTTCTCTGCTTGCCCACAGATTCACTCCATGTGAAATCATACTCATACCCTTTCAGTGCAGATTAGTCAAGTCCAAACCCTCTTCACTTTCTGCACCCTCCCCCACAAAACCCTAAGTTCCAGGAACACTGAACTTCTTATCGTTCTCTAAAAATGCAGTGCCCTTGCAGGTCTCCGGATATTGATTGTACTCTCAATACTGGATGGCTATTTCCTCTCTCCTCTTAGTAAATTTCTGCTCTTCCTTTAAGATAGAAATAAAATATCTCCTCTGTGAAGCATATCCCTCATTCCTCTCCACTGTGCTCCTATAACCCTCTTTTATTCCTTGCTTATGCATCTATCGTGTCATATGAGAATTACCTGCTTCTAGGTAAAGACTCCACAGCAGTCTGCCCTACTTCTTTTCCTATCCTCTGATCTTGGCATGCTTCACTGCATCAGTTAGAGCTCAGTAAATGTGCACTGAATTAATTAAGCTTCCTTTCTAGCCGACTGTCTTCAAAGTGGCTGTGATCAGCACAGTGCTGAGCTATCTTTACTATTCGTTATTTTTGAATAATTAATACGCTAATTTTTCTTCTCATATGCTAACTTTATAATTGCATTTATTACATGTTTTATAGATGATACATGGGAATGAGACCCCCACATTCCTATTCCCATAAAAATTTGGAAATAAAAATTTACCCGATAGTTAAACAAGGAAAAAAATCCACATACAGTGGATGTCATTCATCTTATGTTGGAAGAAGGCCAAGATATTTTCTGTAAATGTGTGACTGAGGAATGGGTTTGTCCAAAACTTCAGTTTAGGCCTCCAACAGGTCAAATGAAGGGGACAGGATTGGAATTTGATTATGATCAATATGATCCTAGTGTCCTAAATAATGGATGTGAGAAACCACTGTCTAGCACTGACATGGAAGCCCCAAGAGCCAGAGGCTGGCAGGATCCTTTCCAGCCTTGCCCAGGAGTACAGCCGGACCCCTAAATGGGAGTCCTCCAGTGCAGCCACCATACATGGGTGTGCAGGCTGTCAGAACCTCAGATCATTCTGCTTTTGGTGTCACACCATTCTCACCCTTAGTCTGATTCCACTGGATCCAGCAAATGCCCTTCTGTTTGCAGTTTGGCTTCTATCACAGCATACAGGATGTGATAGTTGTAGTTCTTACTATAAGTTGATAAGGAAGCTGTGAGTGTGGTGAATGTGAGGTATTCTGACCAAATCAAGTCTCTGGGACTAGAAGCTGAGACTCTGACCCAGTTTTGGCAGCCAACCTCCCTTTACCCCAGTACCTGACCTCCTTCTGTACTTTCCCTCAAACCCACAGGTGGGACCCCCTCCTAAGCATTCATATCTGCTTCTTAGTGGGCTCCCTTAGGACTCATACAGTACCCTACTATGTTACTTTCTTTTAAAAAATAACCATCTTAACATAACAATAAAAATAATAATAATAATAATAAAAAAATAAAAAATGACCATCTTGAGGGCGCCTGGGTAGCTCAATTTGTTAAGCACCTGACTCTTGATTTCCGCTCAGGTCATGATCTCAGGGTCATGAGATCAAGCCCTTCGTGTCGGGCTGTGTGCTTGAGATTCTTTCCCTTTCCTCTCCCTCTGCCCCGCCCCCTGCTCTTGCATCCACATGTGCTCTCTCTCTCTCAAATAAATAAATAAATAAATATTAAAAAATAAAAATAAAAATATCCATCTTTGTCTCTACTTTAGATCAGTGTTTTTCAAACATTTTTGGTTAGCATAGACCACAAACAATGTACCCACCTCACACATTTTTTAATTGACATATAAAATTTTTTATCATAAGCTTAAATCAGTGCAAAGCTTAAATCTGGTGCATCAGACATATTGATAAAGTTTTACTCTTTTAAATGTATCCAGTGGCTGGGGTGCCTGGGTGGCTCAGTCGTTGAGCGTCTGCCTTCGGCTCAGGTCATGAGCCCAGGGTCCTGGGATCCAGCCCCGCATCGGGCTCCCTGCTCCGCGGGAAGCCTGCTTCTCCCTCTCCCACTCCCCCACCTGTGTTCCTGCTCTTGCTGTCTCTCTATCAAATAAATAAATAAAACATCTTTAAAATAAATAAATAAATAAATAAATAAATAAATAAATAAATAAATAAAGTAGAAATAAATACCATAACAATTTGATACTCACTATCATGTATTTTAAAATACTTAGACCAGCTGTTCATTAACGTTTTATGTTGTTTCTTTTTGCTCTTTATCTCATATTTCTTTTTTTTTTTTTTAAAGATTTTATTTATTTGAGAGAGAGAGAAAGAGAGAATGAGGGAGAGAGAGCACAAGAGGGGGTAGGGTCAGAGGGAGAAGCAGACTCCCCACTGAGTGGGGAGCCTGACTGGGGACTCAATCTCAGGACCCCAGGATCATGACCTGAGCCAAAGGCAATTGCCCAACCAACTGAGCCACCCAGGCTCATATTTCAATTCCATTTCTCCCAGAAAATTTCATCCTAATATAATATATTTTAATGCCTAAAAGTCTTTTATTTATCATTCTAGCATAATTCTCTGCACCATAGAAATTCAATTTTATTCTTATTTCTTGTGATCTAAGTCTTTAAATTTAAAAGTACCTTCTAGTTTGAGTTTCTATTATTATCAGCACATTATTAATCAAAATATCATAAATATGTCACAAATTTTATGGATAATTATTAAACTCAAAAAGCAAATTTTTTGGAAGTGCATATCTTAAGATGAATAAGGCTTCATTTAAGAAAATGAGTTTATGTATTTGTGGATGAATAAAGGCACTCCTACTGCTAGAAGGTTTATAATGATAATAATAATAATAATAGTAAACTTTCTTTTCCTACTGTTGAGACAGGGCTTAATATCAATTTCATTTCTATATTCAGTGTTATAGATACAGCTCTGAGAAAGCTTGTTCACATAAAAAAAAATAGATGGGAATAGAAAGAATTTCATTGTAGCTCCGTCCCTACATTTTTTTGCACTCCATCTAAGTTATATGCCCCAAATCATACAAATATTAGGTTCCGTCATCTATTAGCTGACAACTTCATTCCTTCTGCCTCCAATTTTGTTAATTGCCAAGAATTGGAATGAGTGGACTTGCAAAACAATCCAGTTTCCATAGTCTTTAGCTGCCTCAGTGCCACGGGGAGCATGTTGAATTGGCCTTTTGCTTGATTTTACAGCCGAGGCAATGCACCAGTTAGAATCAGTTTGCCGAGATGTGCCTTCCTTTTGTAAAGAGGCTGAGGGGCGAATGTGAAAGGGAAGATGGGGAGGGAAGACCAGCCTGATGCACACAAGCTCAGGGCAGTCTTTTAGGAAAGAGTTTTCCCTTACAGAAATGGCTGTGAGGACTCAAGAGTCCAAGCCTCTCTGTTCATCATAGAGTTCCCACTTAGATGTCCGGAGCCTGGTTAAAAGATTTTACCCACTTGAATTCTTTTCTTTCTTTTTTCCAATATTTTATTTATTTATTTGTTTATTTATTTATTTATTTATCAGAGAGAGAGAGCTGGAGCGAGAGCGAGCGGGAGCATGCTAGGCTGGGGGAGTGGCAGGCTCCCCGCCTCGGAAGGAGCCTGATGCGGGACTCGATCCCAGGATCCTGGGATCATGACCTGAGCTGAAGGAAGACACTTAACCGACTGAGCCACCCAGGCGTCCTTTTTTTTTTTTTCTTTTTGAATTAATTTCTTCTAATTTCTGTCCGTGTTTTCTCCAGTCTAAGAGAATTGGACAGATCTGTAGGTCACTGTCACCAAATAGCGAGACGTTTAGTAGCTCGAGGGTATAGAGGCTGTTTTCTACACATTTAGCAAATGCAATTTGTGTGTGTCGTCAATGTATCACCACAGAAAAAGACAGTAACATTTTGCAAGTTCTTTTCAGACTTTGTCTTTGATACCTTTGACAATCTCTAAAGTTTTGAAATAGTACTTTATGGTAGTAAAATTTTTCCTGTACAATGTTTATCTATACATAAGGCTGTTTATTTGGAGTGGACGGGTGTGTTGGTTTCCTAGAGCCAAGGTAATAAAATACTACAAACTGGTAGAAACAGAAACTTATTCCCTCAGGATTCTGGGGGCTGAAAATCCAAATTCAAGGTGTCAACAGAGTTGATTCTTCCTGAGGGCTTGCAGGAGACTCTGTTCTATGTCTCTTTCCTAGCTTTTGCTGACAGACAGAATTCTTGGGGTTTTGGGCTCCTAGATGCATCTGTCGCATCTTCACCTCCATCTGCATGTGGCATTCTCCCCACGTCTCTGCGTTTTTACACGGCTATCTTCTTAGAAGGACATCAACCATCATGGTTTAGGGGCCTACCTACACCAATACAACCTCATCCTAACTAATTCCATCTATAATGACCTATTTCCAAATAAGGTTGCATTCTGAGGTACTGAGTTAGGATTTCAACTTACCTTTTTGGCAGGGGACACAATTCAACCCATAACAGTGGGTCAGAGATGAGCCTGATAATGGCTTGTGTTTTTTATAATAAATACTCTGATGGTTGAACTGTGTTGGAACAGCCTGTCAAATAGCACCATCATCAAATCATCGCCTAGGACATAGTGGGTACTCAGATATGTTTGTTAAATGAATGTTGCCACTGAGGAGATCAGGACCAAAACACAAGGACCTCACTTACTGGCCTGGTCAATGAGTCCGATCATGACTTCTCGCCACATAGAAATTGGGCATTAGTCAGTTCTGAGGATGAGAGAAACCTCTCCTGCTCCCCAGTTATTGAGATACATAAGCCACTTAGGAGAATGGTGGCCATTTGGGCAGAAATTATTTCCATTTTACTGAAAAGTTTCAAAAAGAAAATGTTTATCCTTAAAGCTTCATTTCAGGTGAAATCATGTTTTAGACTTTTGGATAGCTTTTAGGCCAAGGCAATTGAGAGGAAAACAACTTTGTGAGGAAAACAACACATATTCCAAAATGACAATAATAGGCATTATCAGGTGTTAGTACGTTCCAAAATTAACAAATTCCTCATAATTAATTGATATTTGTATTGCATTTACTTCGTATGTGTTTGCTTTTGAAAGAATATCCTCTGGATCTCCTTCTGTTTAAGCCTTACTTTTCTTTATTGTTGTTGTTTTTTATTGTTGTATATATTTCTTACTTTTCCTGTATCTTTATTGCCTACTTTCTAGGCTACCTCTTTAACTTACATGTATATTATGCTGTAAACATGTGTAAAATGTGTGAAATTCCTACCCACTCTACTTTAAATTTCTGTAATGAGAAACCCATATAACACCATATGTTAACTAACTGGAATTAAAATAAAAAATTAAAAAAATACATGTCTGTAATGAATACTAAAGAAGTCACGGACACAATAATTGTTGCTCAGTAATGAGGTGGTTCCTATTAAAGGTGATCTTTATGAACTCAGCTTTGTATCTCATTTCATATGCCTTTGACATCCATTCATTTTTTTTTAATGTGTATTTGTTTTCTATTTTGTTGTTTTTAAATGGTGAAAACAGGACCCAACGCGTTTGTTTTCTGATGATCCTAATCCAACAGGAACTTGGCCACTCTACCATATTTCATGTCTAGTGTTGGTTTTCTTTACTGTAAGCTCTGCCAGCTTTTGGTGGTTTCTGTTTCAGGTCAACTGACACACTATGGAAGAGTCTTAAAGGCTAATAATCCCTCCTTTATGAATTCAGTTCTAGGGATGCTAGAGCCAGTTTATAAACTGTTAGCTTTGGAAAATACCTTATGAACTAGTAATAGGCTTCAACAAAATGTTTTATGCACTAAGCTGTCGTAGAGGTCACAATTCTTCTTAAAAAAGAAAAGGTTTTAAGACTATGCATAACCATCCCAGGGTAGATGGGTTATCATGGAGTAGCAAACAACCCCCTGATCTCTGTAGCTTCAAACAGCAATGGTTTATTAGCTGCTCACACTACATGTCCACAGACGGTCAAGGGGGAGACTCTGCTTCTGGTAGTCCTCCAAGGGATCCAGGCTGATATCACCTGGGCATGAGCAAAAGGCATACTGGCTCTTAAAGTTTCCACTTGGCAATGACACACATCATTTCCACTCATAATTTGTTGGACAATGCAAGCCATATAGTCATGCTTGAATTAAAGGGGAATGGGAAATGCAATTCTACCACATTTCCAGGGAGAGGAGAACTGGAATATTTTTGGACAGGCTTAACCTCTACAATGCCCTGAATGACAGATAGGTATCTAAAAGCAAAAGCAATTCTGGTTATTGGAAATATTCCAATAATACCACAGAAAAGGGACCTCAATGTTTGGTCAGACTTTGGAGATGTGTAGTAGCTTCTCAAATGTCTTTCTTCTCCTTCACTATAGTCTTGCCAGATTTTCCATTATCTGATATTTTATATTCACTTTTTCTGTGAGGACTATGTGATGATTTGTATAGCCAGGCAGTCTAAAACTTCTTCTATTTCAATATTCTTTTAACATTATTTCTGAAAAATTACATAGCTAATGAGTTCTGTAGTCTAGTTTCTACCTTCATTTTTGATTTCTCTCCACCCACATCTACAATTACCCGGAGAACTGCATAGAACTCAGTTCTGCCACTCAGTTGTGTATATTTAGGTAAATTACTTAATCTACAGCTCCAAGATTCAACTGTCCTGCCTATGAAGTAAAATAATAATCGCTCTTACCTCTTAGGGTATTTTGAGTATTAAATGAGGTGATGTTTGTAAACACCATGTAATATGGATATTAGCTAAATCTTATACAGTGCTTGTTAGATGTCAGCCCTTTCTAAGGGATCCATATTATATGACCCATTTAATTCTCACAACAACTCTCTGTGGTAACTAGTACCATTACCCTCATTTTGTAGATAAGGACACTGAAGCACAGAGAAGTTAAATAACTTGCCCGGAGGCACATAACCAATAAATGGTAGAACAGAATGGCAACAACAGGCAGTCTGTGCCAAAGACCATGCTCTCAATTTCTGTGTTCAATGGAGTGTGTGGAATATAGTAGATGCTCAAAATATTTCACTTGTTTTTATTTTATGGATATTATTATTATAACTTGTTTAAAATGAAGCTCTATAGTTTTCTCATGGAAAAAGTTAAAACCTCTTCTTTCATAAACAATGCGATATTTGATAAAAATGCATGAATTCTGGGGGGCCTGGGTGGCTTAGTCAGTTAAGCATCTAACTCTTGATTTCAGCTCATTTCTTGATCTCAGGGTCATGGGATCGAGCCCCATGTCAGGCTATGTGCTCAGTGGGTAGTCTGCTTGAGATTCTCTCTCCCTCTGCCTCTGCTCATGTTTGCTCGCTCGCTCTCTCTCTCAAAATTAATAAATAAAATCCTTTTAAAAATTAAAAACTGCATGAATTCTTTTAATATTATTTACCCAGAAATGAAAAATAAACCCCAAGAGACACCGTGGCTTCTGTATTGGTCTGTTCTGGTCTACCTTGTTTCCTCTCTCTCTCTCTTTCCTTCCTTCCCATCTTTCTTTTGGATCACTTGCTGTAGGAGAATCCAGCTGCCATACCTTGAAGATACTCGGGCTGCTCACTTGGGGAGAAACTGAGGTCTCTGGCTAACAGTCAATTAGAAACTGAGGACTACAAAAATCACTTGAGCAAGTGTGGAAGCAGATCCTCCCCCAGTCCAGCCCTCAGGGGACTGTGGTCCCAACTAACAGCTTGACTGCAATCTCATGAGAGACCCTGGGAGACGCAACTAAGATGTTCCCAGATGCCTGGCCACCCCCCCTCCCGAACAGGTGAGATAATAAATGTGGTTTTTAGCTACAAGGGGTAATTTATTACACAGCAACGCATAGCTAAAACAGATATCAGTACCTGGAATTGAGATGCTGCTATAACAAAAAACTAAAATGTGGAAAAAGCTTTTTTTTTTTTTTTTAGAAATTAAGTTCTTTGCCTCTCTGTATAAATTTTAAAATTAGCCTGCCAATTTTTGTGCACAAGTATGCTAGGATTTTGGTTGAGATGGTATTGAATCTATAGGACAACATGGGGACCATTGCCACCTTACCAGTATTGATTCTTCCAATCCACAAACATGGCATATCTCTTCATTTAATTAGGTTTTCTTTAACTTTTCTTAGCAATATTTTGTAGTTTTAGGTATATAGGTCTTACACATCTTTCATTATTTTTATTCCTGATACACTGATGCTGTCATTAATGTTTTAAAATTTTTCTAGTAACTAGAACTACAATTTTTTTTTTAAGATTTTATTCATTTATTTGAGAGAGAGAATGAGATAGAGAGAGAGAGCATGAGAGGGGGGAGGGTCAGAGGGAGAAGCAGACTCCCCGCAGAGCAGGGAGCCCGATGCGGGACTCGATCCCGGGACTCCAGGATCATGACCTGAGCCGAAGGCAGTCGCCTAACCAACTGAGCCACCCAGGCGCCCCAGAACTACAATTGTTTTGATGCTACCATAATCTTAAAATTTTTTTCAATTGTTCATTGCTTGTAAATAGAAATTCAGTGCATTTTAAGCTGTGTTTGGGTTTGGTCTTTTAATGTTGGCCTTCCATCTTGTGGCTTTTTAAAGTTTACTTTTTGGTTCTAGCAGCCTTATTTTAGATTGCATTGGATTGTCTATATACACCATCATGTCATTTACAAATAAAGACAGTTTCACATCTTCTTTTCTAATCTGATTTCCTTTAATATGTTTAATAAACACATACACACACATATACATCCAAATACAACAACTTGTGTATATATAGTTGGAGGCAATTTGCTAAAATTTTGTTAAAAGATTTTGCACATATATTCTCTGTACCTCTGTTTTCTTCTCTATGCTTATCTGGTTTGGTATCAAGTGATTCTGGCCTCATAAAATGAGTTAGGAAGTTTTTCATCCTTTTCCATTTTAATGAGTTTATGTAGAAATTTTATTATTTCTTCCTTTAAAGTTTCATAAAATTCATCAGTGGCTTGAAGCTTTCAATTTCTTTAAGGTATGTAGGGCTTTTCAAGTTTTCTTTTCCCTCTTGGGTGAGTTTTGACAATTTTTGTCTTTTAAGAAATTTGTCCATTTTCCCCAAGACATCAAATTTATTAGCATTAAGTTGTTAACAATATTTTTTTATTACTCTGATATTGGTAATTATAAATTTTATTTTTCCTTCACCAGTCTAACTAGAGACTTGCCAATTTTACTGATTTGTTTCAAGGAACTAGCATTTACTTTCATTTACTTTCTCTATTATTTTTTCAATTTTTATTTCATTAATACTCTTTATTATTTCCTTTCTTGTACTTACTTTGGATTTAAATTGCTTTTTTGTTTTTTTTAACATGAAAGTTGAGATTATTGATTTGAGTCCTTTCCTTTTTTTTTTTTAAAGTAAATGCTGTAAATATTCCTTTAAACTCTTAGCTGCATCCCACAAATTTTGGTATTCTGTATTTTCATTTTCATTCCATTCAAACTATTTTCTAATTTTCCCTGAGATTTCCCCTTTGGCCCATAGATTATTTAGGGGTGCATTGTTTAATTTTCAAATATTTGGGGATTTTTCGGATATTATTCTTTTTTTAAAGATTTATTTATTTGAGAGACAGAGAGAGAGAGAGCACAAGTGGGAAAAACAGAGGGAGAGAGAATCTCAAGCAGACTCTGTGCTGAGCACACACTCTGTGTGATGCGGGGCCCGATCTCACAACCCTGAGATCACAACCTGAGCCGAAACCAAGTGTCGGCCGCTTTACCGACTGTGCCACCCAGGCACCCCCAGATATCATTCTTTTTTTTTTTAATTTTATTTATTTATTTGACAGAGAAAGACACAGCAAGAGAGGGAACACAAGCAGGGGGAGCAGGAGAGGGAGAAGCAGGACTCCTGCTGAGCGGAGAGCCCAATGCGGAGCTCCATCCCAGGACCCTGGGATCATGACTTGAGCCGAAGGCAGACGCTTAACGACTGAGCCACCCAGGCGCCCCCAGATATCATTCTTTATTGATTTCTTGTTTAACTCTATTATGATCAGATTGTGTATTCTGCTGTTGTTGGTCAGAATGTTCTATAAATGTCAATTAGGTCAAATTGGTTGATAGAGTAGTCAGATCTATATCCATGCTGATTTTTTTTTCTATGATTACTGAGAGAGAAGTGTTGAAGTCTCCATGTATAATTGTGGATTTGTATATTTCTCTTTTCACTTCCATCAGTTTTTGCTTGTGTATTTTTTACCTTTAATTTTTAGGTGCATACACATTAAGATTCTCATGTATTACTGATGAATCAACCCATTTCTCAATATGTAATATCTGTCTTTAATCCTGGTAATTTTTCTTGTTCTGAAGTCTATTTCACCTGATATAAATATAGCCAGTCCAGCTTTCTTTTGATGTTAGAA